ACACCAGCTGGATCCAAGGTCACTCAGATGCAGGTAGCCAAATCCCTTGAGGGCCAAGAGGAGAGCCTGGTAGTGCATTCTGGAAGCAGGCAGGCAGCTGTCCAGCACCTCTGCACCTGGGACACCAGAAAACACTGGGGAGTGTATAGGTACCCATCACTAAGCCCTGTCCTGAGCAACCTCAGCCAGTCTGAATGACCTACATTCAGGAGCAACCTTACCAGGTCATCAGCATGGGTCTAAGAGAGCAACCTCACCAGACACACAATGCCATGGTATTCTTACTCTCTCAAGCATGATATGCCTATATGGCACAAACATGCCAAGGTTTTTGCTTATTTACTGGGCTGATCATGCTTCAGTATTACCAAAAGATACTATCTAAGAATGAAGGTCTGCACCACAGAGAAATATCCCATCAGCCTTCTCAGGGAAGCAGCATATCCTAGCCTGCCTCCCAGCTTAACTGACAAGAGGGAGTCAATGTTTAAATGTGAACATGTGAATTTTTGATCTTCTTCCCCAACATTCAATTAAAGATCACCTTTGCAAAATAATACCATATGTTTGAGTAGCCTCATAATTTTGCTCAGACAGCATAGCACAAAAAGATCTGTAGAGCTTTAGCACTGCTGTTCCCCTCTATCTCAGCACAGAACTTGCCAAGGTAGCGAAGCAATTAAAACTGTACTTTCCTGTTTTATAAGAGGCATAAATGATATGTTTCAATACTTCCAGTGTCACAGCATCATAAGATTAACAGAGTGTTTCAGTGTTTTCTGCAGTCCAGATTCAGATTTCCAGTGTGATGGCGCCACAAATGAGCAAGGTAATGTAAGAGGAAGGACACATAACAGATAAAGAGAGGAAAGTTGATAAGTATCTTCCTGTAGGTTAGTCTTTCTCTTACAATGACCATGCCACAATTTCTGCTGAGTCACAGCTGACTAAATTATTGATGTTAATGAATGCTCTCAGAATCCCCTTAGCCAAGGCGAATACATAAAGCTAAAATATCAACCCACAATTTCAGTGAACATTTGATGAAAGGCAGCTACCCAGTGCATAGGACAGAGAAGACTGTACAGCCAAACAAGAAACAAGAGTGCTTTTCTTTACAAACATACATTCCTTTACTTCGAATCCCCATCTGTTTTTCCTCTGTCCCATACTCATACAGAGTTACCCTGCAGTATACACATTAAGGAAACTCTATTAGACTGGAATCTTAAAGGTCATGTTCTTGTATATTATTTCCTTCTAAAGTCCATAAGCTTTATGGTACTGTGACCAATTCAAAGTTCAGTAAGACAGGAAAGTAGCACCTCTGTGTTTCGACTTCATGCTTCTGTTTTCACTACGTGATTCCCAGTGGGGAAAAAAAATCTTTTGGCCTGGAAATAATAATAAGCAGCTTCTGCTTATGGTCTAACATTAGGAAGAAAAAAAACCTCACAGAGACGCTATCAATTCTTCAGTAGTCAGGGTAATTATTACCAACAATTCATAACATACCACAGCTAGCACAGCAAAACTCCCACTCTAACTGTATTTAACTTTGTTTATTGAGGCCAACACAAATCTTTTCTCATATCAAAGCCTGAAGGGGAAATTACCAACAAATTCTGGCACACAGCTACATTCTTTTCAAATACACTATTATACATCATGAGATTCCTGAAACTAGAGAACTTTCCATAAAACTCAGACCACATTATTCCAAAAGGTTGGGGGGGGAGTAAAAAAGAAAAAAACCAAGATTACAACAATTACAGTCATGACAAATCAATCAAAAAAGGAAGCAGGAGTATCCTATCATGACAGGATCCCTGGAACGCTAATCAAGACATCCCGTTGTGTAAAAGTTATGTCTGTTCAAACTTTTAAGAGAATTAGAAATCCTGTACCGTTTATTTGTTTAGCTGGACTGTTGCTATATGTGGAGTATGAAAGAATGTATTTATTGGGTTATGAACAGAAAAATACATATGAGGAAATTATAGTATGGCATTATGGATGTCTGACAATCCTATTCATTTTGACATAACATGCATACTGAAAAGGAACTAAGTTCCACCATAAGGGCCCCCAAATAATTGGATGTTCAAGCTGTAGAAGTTTTGTACACAGAAACTCATTTTGTAGTTTTCTGGAATGTTTTAGCTATCCTTTTCTCATTCTCTGAGATTGAGGAACTATGAAAGTAAGCCACAGGACAGAAAAGTAACATTTTTAAACTGTGATAGACTGTAAACACTTTAGAGGTACTCTCTTTTGTCTGTGACTGGGTACTTTCAGACTCATACAGCATAAAGGCTTAACAGAAGAGACATAATAGTTTTCAGAAGGAAACAGATGATTTTTGCAACCTTCTTCAACACCTAGATTTGGCCTCTAATTTTTAGACATATTTTTTAATGATCATTTTTCATAACTGTGTCAATAAGGTTTGTATAAAGTGTTTCAGTGAACATCATTCATACATCATCCCATTATTTACTTCTGTAAGCTACAGGCTAGGAAAAAATGTATACAAAATACAATGGAACTGAAAATGAGTTGTTATAAAATTCTGATTAGAGCCTTCCCACCACCATTTTTTCACTCCTGATGAAGTTTTTATTCTCTTCAGCACAGAGTGTTCCATAACAACATATCTTGTTCTCTTACCCTTTTTCATCCCCCCTAGTGTAGGGTCACCTGGGTCATCTAAAATGTAACCAGTTGTGAGGAGCCATATAAGACAATGAGCATCAACACTGAAACAATTTTAGAAGCTATGGCTTGTTGGAACATAAGATTTTGTAATCTGTATTATGCAGGCCATTAAATTATCATAACGGCACATTCCGGGTTAAGTGATCTATGTGTTAATTATCCAGATCAGCACTTAGGTTTTGAACTCTAAGTTTTCAAAGAATCATAGAATTTAAGGGTTGGAATGGACCTTTACAGATCATCTAGCCCCAATTCCCCTGCCATGGGCAGGGACAGCTCCTCACTAGATCAGGCTGCACAAAGCCTCATCCAGCCTGGCCTTTGAACACTGCCAGGGTTGGAGCAGCCACAACATCCCTGGGCAACCTGTGCCAGTGTCTCACCACCCTCACAGTAAAAAACCTTTTCCTAATATCAAACCTAAACTTCCCCTCCTCCAATTTGAATCCATTACCCCTTGTCCTATCATTGCAGTTCCTAACAAAGAGTCCCTCTCTGGCTCCCCTGTAGTCCCTTCAGATACTGAAAGGCTGCTATGAGGTCTCCATGCAACCTTCTCTTCTCCAGGCTGAACAGCCCCAACTTCCTCAGCCTGTCTTCATAGGGAAGGTGCTCCAGTCCTCTTACCAACTTTGTGGCCTCCTCTGGACTTGCTCCAACAGTTCCATGTCCTTCTTATGTTGAGGACACCAGAACTGCACCCAGAGTTCCAGGTGGGGTTGCACGAGAGCAGAGCAGAGGGGAAGAATCACCTCTTTTGACCTGCTGGCCATACTCCTTTTGAGGCTGCCCAGGATTCGACTTGCCTTCTGGGCTGCTAGCGCACACTGCCTGCTCATGGTGAGCTTCTCATCCACTGTCACTCCCAAGCCTGTCTTCTCACTGCTGGTTTCAGTTACTTCCCCACCCAAACTGTAGCTGTGCCTGGGGTTGCCATGGCCCAGATGTAGGACCTTGCACCTTTGCAAGTCTTAGCACAAGCATTAAGTTTTACAGCAACTGCTACTCCCTGTTAGTATGGGTCATGAGATAGTTTTCAGATATAAATTTGATTTTCAGATATAAATTTGATTCAGATATAAATTTGATTTAAATTTTTGACCAAATTTAAATTTGATTTAAATTTGATTTCCTGGCAGTAATACAGTAAGAAGCCTGAGAAAGAGTTTCTATATCAGCAAAATCTCTGGTGACAATTATGAGAACTACACTAACAAGATATTCCTCAATATTATTCAAAACAAAAGAGAAAATGAATCTAAAAGAATGGATTTTCCAACATGATGAAGGTGAAGGCCACAGTTCTCTGTGTAAATACAAAGTTTTTACCATGTTCAACACCACTGATTTCACTATTTGGAATAGTCATCCTCAATAACTAAACATGTCACACACTTTCTAGAACTGTCCTGTTAAAAACTGTATGTGGTCTGTTATTTTACATTTCTTCAGCATTATTCATATCAACTCTATTTAAAATGAATTAATTTTCATGCTATTTAAAATTAATTTATTTTGTAATTAAAGAATCACATATATCACTGACACTGAATCACAAACTGAAATATATCAATTTGTAAGAAATGATTCTGAAGATAAGTGTTTAAATTACAATTCTTGACAGAAAACAAATACTGAGTTCTCCTAAGTATTTTTTTTACAGAAGTAAAGCATCACAGATTCCTTCTCCCCTCAGTTGACATAGATAGAAAAAGTTGCTTAAATAGAAGTATCAAAACAATAACAATTCTTTGCTGTTGTAAAAAAGTGTTACATTTTACAGGAAGGTAATTTTGTTTCACTTGCAGATGATGCAGATATAGTGGTATAACCCTTAGGATACAGACACAGTCCACAATTAGGACACAAACCACAATGCACCATGGACACACCACATTATTCATGGTGAGTAAAGTCTTGTAATATAAACAACTATAACAAAAAAAATGCAAAACCTATAGGTAATTTGTAGTCAGGAGCATCTAACAATGTTGTAAAAAAACACTTCAGACTTTCCACTGTCAAATGGACAAAACAATGCAGCTATAATGGGATGCTTTGCCTCAGGTATCTGTGACTTCAGTTTTAGTGATTCTGGTCTCATAACAAGCTTAGACCTCACAGTGACTAACACGCTGAACAGCCTCAGCTTTGAGTGATTTCCTCTGCAGTCAAATGGTGCAGTTACTCTGCAAAGTTCATAAAAAAAGGCTTTCATATACAAAAATGATCTCAATGGTAACTTTGCCATCATCTCGGTTTGCCACCTGTAGACGTATTCTTTATCGAGGAGGAAGGTGAAATCTCCTCCGGTCTGGGTGTCCCGATCTTCTACCTGGAGAGAGTAGGAGAGGAATTAAATACTTCTAATGAACAGTAAAGCAAGAAAACAAGAACTTATTCAGACAGCCTGCAAGAAAAACTACACTTATATGTATCTTGAAAAAAATACATGTCCCTGTCCAGTTGGTGTATAATTATGGCCAGTATTTTGAGGTGCTGGAGGATAAAGTCTGTGATGGCACTGCTCTTCTTAAAACTCCTGGGAGACAATAACTTTTAAATCGAGTCCAATTAATGGGTACTGAATCATACAGGTCATACACTGCAGCTAGTAGATCAGACCGTGTGAATTCAGGAAAGAAAAATGGGCTATTCAGAATCAGACATAAGCAATATATGCAAACATTTTCAGACAGGTTTAAATATGCCTGTGTATAATACTGTTTCAGGTATAGATTCCTATAAGCAAAGTAGTATTCAAACTGTAAACGAAATCTTTTTTCAGCACTGAAGTTCTACCAAGTCCCACCTGCATTGCAGTTCTATCAAAATCCTGTCAATCAGAACATGCTTGAATACAGAATATGCAACACGAGCCTGGAAGCCTTGACTAAATATTTAGTAAATGAAAGTCTGCTACAAACTTAGATCCTTCAGCAGAGTCACATTATCTCCAGTTACATGGTTTAGAGTGTGCTAAGACTGAAGCAAATGTGCCCTTTTGATGCAATTACATTCCATGAAGAAACAGGAATCTGGATAATTCCTTTTTGTCTTGGACAAAAGAGTTTCTCTTGAGTGAGACATATGTCCAACAATTTTTACCCCAATATCTCTCCTTGACACTCATCTTTTGTTTCCCCTGAAAAACTGCTTTAAATTCTCCATAAAAGCTTTTCCCCAAGACCTAATTTTTTGTTTCTGGCTTTTTTTTTTAAAAAAAGATATACTTCTGAAAATGTAATCTTTATTAAGCAGGTTTCTTTAAAAATGAAAAACTGCCCAATTTCACTGTTCTCTTCTTCTTTCTTTCAATAGAAATATGGAAGAAAAACACAGCAAAGGTAGATGGAAACAAAGAAAGCAAAACTTGTTTCTTGAAAGCTGAGTTTTCTTAGGCAGAATATAGCTGTACCAAAATCCAACAACATCTAAATGCAAGTATGAAGTTGTCAAAATGCTTCACTATTTCTCCATCTCACTGTTTATGATTCTAGTGGTAGACCACCGGTAGCTGAAATTATCATCTATTACTTCTAGTGTTGTGAAAGCTCTTATTCATTATGGTCCCTCCCCTGAGCCCATCAGTCAGAGTGTTCTGATGTTTAGCTGATTACCAGCAGAAATTCCATATCCTTGACAATACCTTTCACTATTTCTAATGTATTAGAGTATCCTTGATTTTAACCATTCATACTTCTGTTGCAAGACCCATAGACAGTCTCGCCCAGTTCACTTTTCAGACATGCTTTCAAATACTAGTATGAGAACCATTGTCCAAACCACTGAAATTCTAATATATAGCTGTAAAAGTATATAAGACAATGTGTAGATAGGATGACACTTACTTGTTGAGTCTCTTTCTTTTGCTATATTTTGTATGCTGATTTAGATCTAGGTGGTAATTTGTATGCTATGACACACAGTATCACTGTCTAACATTTGGATTGCTGAAGAGAGTGACAGACACATGATGCTGAACAGTGATTTCCATAGTTCTTAGTGACCAGTTTATTTTTAGGACTTTGTAGAAGGAGGTAACAATGTGATGCAAACCCAAGTATTAGTGGTCTTAACTTCTAATTAATGAAGCTTGTCTACCAATAGGCTACATGGCCTGTGGTGTACTGGTTCAGCCACAAATCTAGAACCTGTAAATTATCAGACAAGAAATACTAAGAGAAAATCTATGTCCCTGTGAGGCTTAGATGTCCTGATCTGAGTTACACGGATGTGCTCTTCTCCATTTGTAACACACAGCCAAGAAATTTATGGAGAGAACTTAATGAAATCAAACCAAACAAAAAAACACCCCAACCCTCCCAAAAACCCCCAAACACCACAGCTGAATTCCCTTCACTCAAAATACAGATAGAGGATGAGCTGTTAATTACAACAGCTCAGTGGTTACTATTCATCATATAATGAGGGATGCCTAAATCCAATTCTTGTTCTGCCTGAGAGGATTCAAGCCATCATCTCAGAGAATACCAGTGCTCCTCAGGTTGATGCTTTGGAGGCGGAGGCACTCTTTTCTCCACTGTTAAATCTGAGACATTGTCATGGATTTCTTAAACATTAACTGGTAAGAGAGAGCAAAGGCTGCCTAATCACTATGTACACCCCGACACAGAAGATAGGGGTACCATGGATACTGTTCCCATAGTTTTTAATGCATTTAATCCAAGGATTTATATAGAACATGCAACAGCAGAAACCGTAACAGTATACCATGGAAAGGTATATAAAGCATGGGATAGACAGATACCAGTAATATTACTGGGAAGTTTATCACAGAAGCTACCATGATCACAAAACGGCTAATTTTTTGTTCTTTTTTCTCTCTTTTTGGTGAGACACACATAGAACAGAGACAACAGCTACATAATGAAGCAACCCAAATACCTGCGTAAGTAAAGGGCTTGTGTAGAAGAAGCCAAGATGTTTTAATAATGCTACTGAAAGACATTTACAACACAGCAGCAGTTACTGGGGAACATACTTTGTGGAATAAATCTAGTTGTAAGATCTCTGGAGCTGGTCAGAGATGACCTGACCCCTGAACATCAGGTTTCTTGAGATGGTTACAGTAACAATGACCAGTTTTGGTTTTGCTTATGGTCAAGACAGACACTCATTTTAGATTCATATTTTACATACAGGATTGAACAATCTGTGAATCAAATGACAGTATCTTACTCTCAATCATTCAACAGTGGCAGCTGAAACACATTAAAGACTTTGCTGTATTTATTTATCTTCCCTAATCATACCATCAATCTTCTTTGAAAACCTCACCTGGAAACACAAAACCAATTCAGGCTCTGCAGACTTTCTGAAATAATTGATGCTTCTTAGACACTTCTCTTCCTTTTGCTTATTTTCTTTAATCTATGCATATATGCTTCAACTCACAGTAACAAGGCAATAAAACTGAATTATTACACCTCAATATTGTTACCTGCAGTGATGACTCATTGAAATGTCTGTTCTTCTCAAGAAGTGACACTGCTGAATGATTTAAGGTTAATGCCAAGACAAGACAAGACAGAACTTGCATTTGTAACACTTAGGCAGTGACCTGGAAGCTAAGACCCTGATCTAGAAAACCACTTCAGAATGTGTTTAACTTTATTCATATGCTTAAGTGTTTTGTTGAAGTATGAGCGAAGATCTGCAGCTAAGGACTTCAGACAGACATTTCTGTGCAGCTGTGCCAATTTGTTTTAGAACCATCACAATTTTAAACATAGTTCAGCTCAGACCAAGCATGAAAATTATAAATACCACATGAAAGGTTTTTTTTCCCAGAACACTGTGAGTAAAACATGACTACAGATTATAATGCTACACTCTACTCGCCCTGCAGAGTCAGTTTTTGCTAACGATAGTACTCAACCATAACTGGTGCAAGTCTTGTTACTGAGTGCTGCAGCCACAGGGTAACTGCACACACACAAACACAAACTGCATATAAACACAGAGCTGTTATATTGTTGATAGAAACAATTCCCAAAACATGTGCACACATTTTTTTACCTTGTGGTTGATGATTTCTCTGTACAAACCCCCTCATCTGGTTATGATATGGAGAAGCAAAATAATTTCTGTATGGCTGTTGAAATCTGGGATTAAAATCTCTTTGTGCTCTCCCTGAAAAACAGCATTTACTAAGCAACTGTGACAGTATATAAGATTAAATGAAGAAAAAGAAGGACAGCATATTCTTTTTCAGGAAACAATACTTCTTAGTTTTATGTTAACACTTATGCACAATTACAATTTTTCCAAACCAAAGTCAGCCTAATAAGCATGGCTCTTGTCCTCATTCCCATCTATGCACATCATGATTACAAGCTGTTAACAAGTGTATTTAGAAACCAGACCAAAATTTTATGACACAGATTTGGAGACTGCAGTCATTAAAACAAACAGAAATCTCTGTTAAAATTGGAATCACAAATCATATTAAAATGGTTAAGTATAGCTCTCAAGGAAAAGCAGATGCTAACAAGGTCTGGTATCATAAATCACCAACAGATATCCTTAATTTTGAATGTCCAGCACCAGCATGGTGTAGTACATCAGAAGTATTGCTGTTGGATAATGCAAGTTACTGAACAAGCAGAAAATCATTCTCTCTGTTGTAATTTGCTCAAACAACTCTAAAGAGGCAACTTTTGTCCTCACAGACATTAAAATTCATCAAGTATTAAGCAACTAATAAACATAATACAAGCATAAACACTGAGATTTGGTGTAAATTATTTCGAAGTCTCAAAAGCCTCAACATTCAGGTTGATCTGTGACTGATGCTAAAAACCTTTTAGATGTTTTTTTTCCCCTGAAAGTCAGGCAGATCAGGTAGGGAAAACAAATGCCTTTAGGAAACTGAGCCATGAAACTGGGGGAAAAAAGGCTTTTTTTAAACAAAAAAGCACCATTTTCCAAGTTGCCCAAAAGCTTTCTTATATTTTGAACTATTATCAAGGAATCCAGTAAGAAATTTTCTCTCTTTAATGCCTTGTTCAGACATTCATCAGTGTTAAAACAGCTCCCCTGAGGGAATGGAACAAAAAACTCTGAGTCATTTAATTCCTACTATAAAAATAACTTTAGTCACTGAGTAAATAGTGATGTTTCTGTCGGTGAATGATATGTATCGCATACATCTCACTAACTATGTAGCTAGATGGAAATACTATTCTATCTACACTTGGGTAATAAAATTCACATGAATTCCTAGAAATGGGTAATATTTTCTTAGATCTCCCCTTTGGTTTCTTGGAGAAACCCCTTACAAGTTACTTAGCTTGATGGGCTGCCTATGCAATTGCGGCTGCTGTTGAAGGACAATTGAGCTCATTGATATATTAACTTTACTGAGCAAATTAACACAATGCCAACCTGTGAGAAATCCATTCCCTCTTGGTCTGCTCTGTATCGTTCTCTTCTTTGCTGTGCAAACCTTGCAAATGAAAGATTTCAGATTCTCGAAAGGTGTATACAAAGACTCCTGCAGACAACAGGGTTAAAAATCAGTGACTGTTCTGCTCTTCTCTCTGCAGGTATAGAACAAATCAAACACATACACAACAAGACTCATCTTGGCCACACTCATGCATATATGAAGGTGGTAGATCTGGTACACATTTTTCAGGAAATAAAGTTCTACCATTTCATATGAAAAGTGGAGACTTGAAGGGATGAGCAGAGGTCAGAAGAAATGCCTTCCCCTTCCTCGGTGAAGCCTGTTTTTCTTCTCTTCTCACATCTGTAAATCACTTCCTTTCTCATTCTATTACCTTGCACCTGTAGATAAACTTAACTAGACTTCTATAAGCAATACCTGAGGTAGAGATGGTTAAACCTCCAGATAAGGACTGATGAACTCATGGAAAATATACCAGTTGAAATAAAAGTCTCTTAATCTCATACATTAGAAACAAAACTTAACCCAAAAGTAATACAACAGCCCCAACTTCTGTCTGATGAAATATAACTGTCTAAAGAGAAATGGGGAAATTAAAAAAAATATTTACTGTGAGGTGTGAGGAAAAGTTCTACTGTCAAAAGGACCAGCTGAAGCTATTTAAAGATGCAATACTGAGAGATGTGATACATCCTTAACTTTCACTGATTTCAGTGAGCTTTGAAAAAGGGAGAGATCTTAGAATGCATTTCATTTTGTACTGGGCATATGGGATTTAGCACACAATGAAGAGAATGATGAAAGGACAGAGTTTAGAGCAATGTTTCATAAAACTGAACTGGTTTGTACAGGCTGACAATTCCTTTTTGTAGGAGCAGGAAGGAGGGAAGACGATGACAGGATAAAATAAAATAAATATCCAACAGGTAGCAAGACTGCAGCAACTAGAGCGATTTCTTAGAACCCCTGAACCCTCCTGCAAATGTTCCTAGTACATGTTTTAAGCTAACAACTCTTTACAGAGCCTTTAACAAATCCCACAGATTTGTTTTTCTCAAACTGAGCCCAGTCTGTGAAGAACACCCTCTAATGCAAAAAACCTTTCATTTTATTCTTGGGAAAACAAATTCAGAATGTGTTTATGAAAGCTGGATGAAAGGCATGATCAGAAAAGAACAAAACATATCACTTCTGCTGACCTCATTATGTAATTTGGTTTTAATTGAAAAAAATTGATCATAAACATACTCATTAGTGAGAAGCTCAGTAAAAAGACTAATAAAGTGATAATATCATTGCCTCACTGCTTTATGAGACTATTATATCCAATTTTCTGTGTGGATAAACAAACTAATATGATTACTGTTTTGAAAAACAGAGAATAATATGAACTTAGCATATTTTTTTAAAAAAGCAAGACAACACTGTTTTTTATTCTTGTCAAAAAGTGTCAATTTTTTACTCTTTATCAGTTGTTAGGTTACAAAGAGCTGAGCTACACAAAAATTTGTCCACAAATATATCAACTTGTATTTAATGTATACATTTTCTTCTTTAGGTACTAGAATCTGCAGGAAGCAAACCCTAAAGTATTCAAGATTTCTGATATACATGTAAATATTTACCCAGGATTGTATTTCCACTGTAGTTTTCTGAAAGCTATTAACTGTACTTAAGCCCATCATAGTCAAAACAACACTGTTTCTGAGATTATCTGAAGTCCCTGAAGGAATGCAACTGTCCAGATCATACAGAAGGGGCCTTAGTAGTTAGGAGACAAGCACTGAACACCAAAAGGAATAACGTTTTTCCTATTATTTATCTTTTCTAAAACAAAATACCCCATGTAGAATCATTTTCTTTCCTGAATACAATGCCCTTACTATCGCCAGATTAGATGTATAGTGTTAACAAATGAGTGCTGAAAGATCTTGGCTTCCAGCAGAACCTTACTTAAACTCTGCCAGGAACTAAGTACCAGTTTTATTTATTAAAGCTGAACTTATAATAATAGGAAAAAACAATCACATATGCTTGTTGCCTTGCCAGTGTCCCCAGCTAAACTGGCATCTTTTGGCAATTCTCCCCGAAACAGATTCTTGCCTCAAACTGGTAAGCTGGAAAACTATTTTATTAGTCTAGAAGCTATCTCTGCCATATATGTACCATAAAATCGTACCTGAAAAAGACATGTAAACTACTCTAAGAATGCACATGGCCAGAGTGTTTTTCCTCACAACAGAACAGTTTAGTGATGCTTGTTTAAAACAGAGCATCAGGATCTTAAAAATCCTAACCTAGATATTTTAGTTGATCAAGCATATTTCCAGCTCTGTTCTATTCTCAGCATCTTTCTTCACCTTCATTACAAGACAGGATAAAATATAACTTTAATATTACCACATCAAGATTTTCAAATGTTAGCTACAACATACTACCTAACACATCTAAAAATACCTCTCGACTAATATAAATTTTTACAGATTGAGATATATATATTGTCAAAGTTATTAATTACCCTGAATTCTACCCAAATGGAAAAGAAATATCAATTTCACACAAATCTGGATACTTTTACATTTCCCCATTTATTCTTTAAACCCTCTATTGTTCTGCAAAAGTCCTGCATGAAAAACTGGATGAACAATTGGCCCAACCCAAAATCTACTAAAATCAACAGATCAATTAATGGGAACCACAGGATTTGGATAGAGGTTATAGTCCTAATTACATGATTGAATACATATGGAAGGGATTATTCTCCTCCTTCATGCTAACAACACATTCATTCCACACACCCACAAGTGTTCCACTCATCACTCCAGATCAGCATGGCATGTAACTGGACAAAAAATTACAGAAGGAAACTAATTATACTAAAACTGCTATTGAATGTATGAGATTAAAATAATTCAAACCTGAAACCTTTTCCTCTGTAATTACTTTAATCTCAAGTGATATATGCAACAGCAGGTAAAAACATTTTGAAAGTTCCACATTGAAAAGAGACACATTAATGGAAGGTCCTAAGAGCTACCTTCACACTGAGTACAGCTCTACTCAAGCATCTCTCCACATATTCTGTGCTGGTGGGGCACCAGCCAGGTCTAGTCCAAGACTTCACTAGTGCATCAATACAGTCTTTTACCCAGTCTAGCAGACCCTCTACCTGAGCCTGGACATGATGCCACTCCAACGTACTGTGCTCAGTAGGATTTGATGGTACCTCCCTGCCCAGACATGTCTGAAGTCATTCTGTTTTTCTGGTAACACAGCATGCAAATCTTGCAAATCTTACAAATCCCCAGATTTTTAAGATAAAGTGGGACTGAGAACTAAGTAAAGTACTTAGAGGTACAGGAATTTATTTGGTGAGATTCTAAAAATATATCTAGATATATGTCTTCTGATTTCCAGGTCCTCTTTGAATTTATCAAACCTTCATCTCATACTTTATGTTCCTTAATGCCTTTCAAAATATCACTCCAAAACACTTTAAAAATTATACCCAGTATGCTTATTTACAGATGTTCTTAATATGTTGCCTAAAATCTTACAGGAAGGTGATCTTATATATCTCAGTACTAGAAAACCATTATGGGCATTTTCATTTTTTGAAATTGACAACTGTTTTCTTTAGATCATTCTCTGAGTAATGGAAACAAAAATAAAGGTAAAATTATAGCTTACTTTATAGGCGCAGTATTTCTACACTTTAAGAACAATTATTATTTGTGGAGAAGATGAAAAAGGAATAATGAAGAGAGGAAAAATACAAAGAAAGGGGAACAGTGTGAACATGAATATTAAAACAACAGACAAAACGGACAGGTACATTTTTACAAAGAATGCAGAACTGTCTGAGAGGATGTGATTACTTACATTGCTTTCCAAAAGCTCTTCCACAGAACAACCTCGGTGTGACTGCTGGTATTTTTCTTGAAAAAGTTTTCCATCATACATTGCCCAAGGCATCAAATCATCCATTCTGAATGGAAAGCCACAGGCACTATTGGCCATGAGCAAAGTTGTGAGGCCACGAACAAAGACAGCGCCAAGATGAACACCTCTGGAGTCTACTTGTGCAAGCTGTAAACACACAAAATGTAGGCCTCACAGATCAGGAATTGCAAGAAATCTTACCATCACATATAAACTTAGCAAAGCAAATGATATACCGTGCCAAAGTTGTGACAATTACAGTCCTCTGTCCCATAGTAGAATTCATCAAAGGATTCTCCATCTAGTTTTATTCAATAAAGTGAAAGTTTAACAAATACAGCATCTCACTCAAGTTTTTAAGACACATACATTCAAATGAAAAGGGAAAGACAAAATAAATGGCTATTCTCCATAGTACTTTTCAAGCATTAGCAGTTCCCCAGAAAAAAAATCTGTTTGTGGAATGTAAAGCATGAACTGGGAGTATAAATTGACGTGTACAGTGATCCATTGACCTTCCAAGGTTTGATTACCCAGGAAATGTTACAGCATTTAAAGATCATTTAAATTACAGGATTTGACAGAACCAAGTTTCTTGTGTCCAAGCTTTTATTTTAAACACTCTAAAATTTCCACTGACTAGTCTGAAAGTCAAATTATTTCATTTCAACATGGATGTCTCCAGAAGAAATACTGGAATGGGATGACAATATCCAGAAAATGAAAAAGAAACTCAACAAGGCAATTAAAACTCACAGCCAAAATAAACTTGATGGGTGAATTTAACATCCTGCTGTGGCAGAGCATAGCAAAATAAAAATGCCTCGAATCCAATATGGGAAAAACTATGATTTTAAGTATTGTGTAAACAGTACAAAGCTCCTCAGTGGGGAATGCCTTTTCCACAATCTGTACCAAAGAAGTCTGTCAGGACCAGAAGAGATTTGCAACAGTGTGGCCATCAGTACTCTAATTCATGGCAGCTGTTGTACCCTTACAGTATAAATTATACCAGAAATGGAATACTATCTGAAATAGTCCAGAACAGAAAGGGAAAATTGTGACCCAAATTTGTCTTAGCCCTAGCTCCTGAAGAGCTGTGAACTCTTTGAAATGCAGTGGAAAGGGTTGGCCCATTATTACTACATCTTGAAAGACCCCCAAAAGACCCAAAGGTATGGACATATCCCATCAGTGCCTTATTTAAAAAATGAAGACAAATAGTAGCAAAACCCATAAAATGTAGTACTAATGAATCAGAATTTTTTCCTCCGGACGGTCTGCATAACAAAATCAGGAAACCTTTGCTAGCAATACAGAGCTACAAAGCTTCTTGCAAAAGTGACAATCACAATGAATCATTTGGAGAATAGAATCTGGTGAAGGATTTAGATTTTTGGTATTATTACACAATGAGTCGAAGTCTGTTGCATAATTTGACTACGTGAAACTGGCTTCTGTGATGGGGTTCCCCCTAAACACAGACAAGGGACAGTAGGGTTCTGTTAAGCTGACTTGAAGATATGAGGAGTATCTCCATGGACTGTCTTCTCTACAGTGCAAAAGCAAAAGAGAACCTAGAGATGATGATGCAGGCAAAAAATACCAGGCAGGGAGGTCCAGAGCCCTCTGGGAGGAACTTCTTCTGCCTCTACTGATTCCTGGAAAGGCATCAAGTTGGCCATCAGGGCACTGACCCAACATAACACTCAGTACTTGAAATTCATCCAGTACAGACAAGTGAAGACAACCACTGACATCCAGACAAATGCAGACAACACAAGCTAATTTCACAGAATCACAGAATGGTTTGGGTTAGAAGGGAGCTTAAAGATCATCGAGTTCCAGCCTACCTGCTGTAGGCAGGGACACCTTCTGTTAGAATTTGACCAGTCATCTAGAAAATGAAAGGTCCATCTTTTTCTGACTGTGACACTTCATACTTGAGTGAGGGAGACTCTCTTGTAGCCTCCCTTTAAAATAAAAGCATTTTTGGTATGGGATCAGGCCATTGAGTTTCAGGAAGTTATTGCCTCCAGATGTAAGCTATCATTTTGCCAGCTGAGACTAGTAACTACATGCACACACATAACTCTCTTGCTCTGGCAAGTAAAGCAGAGTTTTGCAAACAATGCTGAAAGGTTCTTGAAAGAGGAATGTGGTTTGAGTGAACCAGTATTATTTGCACTAAAGTAGACTGCAAGAGTGCACACAGTCGGTTTACCACCTTGCAGCTGAGAGATTCTTACATTGAATTTACCAGACTGTTTCTGACCCCCTGATCAAATCTTAACACCTGCTAAGGAAGTGAGTTCACACCATCACAAGCTTTAAAATGGAATCTGCTTGGTTTGTGATCACAAAGTAAGACTTTAAGAGTGGCAAGTACAAATAACAAGAACTGCTGGGAATCCTCAGAACTCCAGGGAATTCTTTCAGAATTTATACACCCCGGTCTTGCTCTCAATGCAACAATTAATTGAACTTTAAGTAACTTCAATAAAATACTTTATAGCACTTTGACAAGTGGTGAAGTTTTGCTCTTAAGCTGTAAGGAAAATGGATATGTTAAACTACAATTAGCAGCAGAGGTCAAAAGTGATGGTAGCACACCAACCAGCTGAATCAAACTTGGTCAAAATCAAATTAATATTATTTATATCACCAACAGTCTCTTTATTGTAGGCCACTAAAAACCAAACTGAAATTCACGATCATATAACTCGTTACCTTCTGTCACTGAATTATCGGTACTGATAACACCGAAAGATTCAATTGATGAAAACAAACTTTCATGAAGATTAATGAAAACAACTATTTAAGCAGCTGAAAATAAAAGAGCAAATGCTGTCACCTGCAGCAAGCAATTTCCCATCTACTAATTTAACAGATGTGTACTATATGACTATTAATTCATACCTTCTTGTCAGATGCTTTTACTGTCCTTTTGAATCCCACTGGTATCAAGGATGTAAACCAGCTGTTAGAACAGATTACTAATACTATATGTGGATGCTGGATGCCATCTGGCCCATAAATCTTAAAATGAAGCTTTTAGAGCTTTATTTTATTCTGAAAACTCTAAGCAGAGATGCAACACAAATATGTGATTAACACAACTTTCTTCAGGGATGCTATTCAAGTTAACACAAGCCAAATGCATATGTATTTGCAGAACAAGTGTCCAAAGGAGAATTTGAAAAATTTTGCTTTTGATGGTGATGCACAAACCAGTAAAACACAGAAGAGGACTTTGAGTACTGTCTCAAACCAGAGATCAGTGTAGTACTAACATTGATGCTGTTACTTCTGCCCTAAGTGAGTAGGAAATCTAAGACACTGATACAACCCTAGCTGTGCTCTTTTCAATTACTCTTGAGACAAATTGGTTGAAAAGGTAAAATAATGTTGCTGGTGACAGGTTTTACAGGTAGAAGGCTTCATTGTCTAGGAATATCAATCCAGAACTTTCCTAAAGCAATAAAGTATCAGGGATGGGGTGTGTGTGTGTTTGTGCATGGTGGGTATCAGGCAAGGCTTGTTTTTTTAATGAAAATCAATATTGGCAAGACCAAGGCAAGAACTATCAACACTGATTTCTTTATTTTAATAGGACAGGAAATATGCTCACTAAAGGGTAGTTTCTACTTTCCATGTCTGGCAATGAAAACCAAAGAAAATGAAAGCGCAGTGAGTCTGTGCACATGGCAAACCACAGATTTGCTTTGCCTTGGGAATGCTCAGAACTGCATGGTGTTTGCAATGTTAAGATGTCACGATGAGAAGTGGAAAATTCCAAAAGAAAAGAAGTATCGTCTTGCAGGGCATTACACCCTAGAGATTCTTTTTGGAAATTGTGGCTGTTCTTTTTTGCTATTTTTATAAACTCAGGACCCCAGTGAACCATGTGAGATATACCCCTGTGATCTTGCTGCTGCTTACCACCAGCTGATGACATTTATGTGAGATCAACAGGGAATGCATAAGAACTGCTCCTCCTGCACCAGCTGTCTGTGCTGTGCCCCTGCTGCTGCACCTACCAATGGCAGCTCCCCACCCTCTCAGCATTTGGAGAAAAAGATTAATTTTCCTATTTGCCAGCATTAACTGAAGACTGAGAAGAAAGCTCAAAAGTTCACAGCCCTCTAGCATCATGTCATCAGAGGTTACTGATATTGTGCTTAGAAGGTCTGATCTGAACTGGCCTACGCCACTTGAAAAGAGCAAGAGAAGTGCCAGAGCATCCACAACACTAATAATGTTTTTTTCTCCAACAATATGAGAAGATGGCTCTTAGAAGAGCCATCATCAGAGACTTTTATCACACCTTTTTCTACTCTAGAAATACAGGACTTTGGCCTGTGGACCACGAGTTCAGGCCAATCTCCATGCTTGCGTGCATATTCATGGACCACAGAAAGAGGCTTTGCAGGATGGTAAGTGTTTGCTCACAGGAGCAGTTTGTAAATCTAGACACAGAGACTGTATGTCCTGCTGCAATGATTTTTATTTACTGGAAGAAGGAACACATGGATCTTGTATATGAAATGCAAATATTGAGTTCAAATTTCATCTACTTAAATAATAATAAAAAATAATTAGGATGTAAAAATACCTTTATGTGTTAAGGAAATACTACTAGACCTCTTGAGACTTCTCTGTGGATTCACAAATGATTTTTTGATAGAGTTGCAAACTTTATGCTATGCACTTTGAAAGCTGCACAACCTCTTTTCAGGAACATACTAAAAAACCCACAACTCCTTCACCCCTCTACTGTACGGAGTCTAGAGGGGTCAAATTCTGTTAAAAGGATGAATAGGTTCTATGACAGCTATGACACAGAAATGCAAGGGCAAGTATCTGATCATGGCAGGTGTCAACAGGCCAGAACCACAGCCACCAGCAAAGCCACTTCACTTTCTGAATTTCTAGAAACCAAGGAGAAAGGTAAAGATATGACAACAATTTTACAATTCTTTACTTGTGCTACTTTACATGCCATCTGTATCTCCATGTTCTAAATACCACACTTCATTTAAGAACTGGTTCCTTTAGTAGGATTTTCAACAACATTCAGGGGACACTCCTTTTCAATGTACAAAATCTGTATTAATAATTGTTACTTAGGTTAAAGTCGTTCTCCT